ACCACCCCCAGCTGAGATATCATCTTATTGCTGTTAGAATGATCACTATTAGAAAACCAGAAGTTAGCAAGTTTTGGGTGAGGATGTAGAGAAATGGGAATCCTTGTACATGATTTGTAAGAATGTAAGATTGTATAGCTACAGTGGAAGACAGTATGGAAGTTCCTCTAAAAATTAAAAACACAATTGCCATATGATCCATATTGCAGTTCTGGGTGTATATCCTAAAAAATTGAAAACAGGATCTCGAAGAAATATTTGCATACCCATGTTCATTACAGCATTCCTAATAGCCAAGATGTGGAAGCGCCTAAGTATCCACTGATGATGAATAAAGACACTGTGTTGTATACGTGTAACAGGATATTATTTAGTCTTTAAAAAGAAGGAAATTCTCTCATCTGCTACAACATGGATGTAATTTGAAGACATTACACTAAGTGAAAGAAAACAGTTGCAAAATCATAAGTGCTACCTGATTCTACTTGTGTGAGGCATCTAAAGTAGCCACACAGGAAAAAAAATGATAGTAATTGCCAGCAGTTGGGAGAAGGGGAAATGAGGAGTTGTTCAGTGGATATGGAATTTCAGCTTTGCAGATTAAAAAGTTCTAAAGAGCTGATGCGTAATAATGTCCTGATAGTTAACACTAAGAGACACTTAAAATAGGTAAGGTAGCTAAATTTTATGCTAGGTGCTTTTTTAAAAAACCATGATAAAAATGTTGTCAGCTCTCTGCCTAGAAAACAAAAAAATAAAGGAACTGGTTATATAGAGTGGTGTACAACAGTGACTGTCTACAGTAGTCCGAAGTCAGTGGCATGATAAAGGCCTGTGTCTGAGCAACAGGAACATGCACAATACATGTAACAAAAAGATGTGCACTTAAAAGTATTTTAATCCAGTTTTGGTCCCTTGAAAAAATGGGTGTGGGCTGGGGATATAGCTCAGGGGCACAAGTACCTGCCTGGCAAGTGCAAGGTCATGAGTTCAATTCCCAGTACCAAAAAAAAAAAAAGAAAAAGAACAAAAGAAAAATAGGTGTGATTTGGTTTTTAGAAAATCTCATTCCCTAAAAGACCGGATAAATGGCACACAACTGAAATACCGTGTCTCTGAGATACTTAAGGTGCCACCAGGCCTATGCTTGAGAAAATTAATGCAGAGAACATTAGAGGTTGACAGGAACAACTACTATATGAGCATGTATTTATGTGTGTGTTGGTCTGTTCTTTCTTCAGAGAATCAATACAGGAGAATCAAAATTCTAGATCATTACCAGTTGAATCAGTTGATTTGGCCTCTGCTGACAATGAGAAGTTAAAAGTGGGCATCATTGGAGGCGGCCATCTTGGGAAGCAGCTGACTTGTGCACTGCTGCAGCTCGTCCCCATCCCTGCTGAGAATCTGCGCATCTCCACTCGGAGGCCAGAGGCCTTGAGTGAGGAAACAGTGTGTTATACAGGGGGTTTGGTTGTGTTGGTCCTGTGTTAACAAAGCCATTTTGAGAGGGTCCCTTTAAAAAGGAGTCCTATGTAGCATGCAGAGTTCTGAGCTTACTAGTTTTGAGAAAAGATAGGAAGATGGCTTTAATTGTGTGTGTGTGTGTGTGTGTGTGTGTTTGAGACAGGGTGTCACTATGCAGTTCAGGCTCAATTTGAACTCACTTTGTAGCTGATGTTGGCCCCAAACTTGCAACAGTCCTCCTGCCTCAGCCTCCTGAGTGCTGGGATTACAGGCATGTGCCACAACACCCAGCTAACGATGCCTATTGAGCTTATTGTTTGGAGCAATTTTTTTCTGCACTTAAATGTTTTATATCCATCTCTACTGCTTGTGCCTTTGGTGGTGAATTATTTTTCTGGGTGTGTGATACAGGAAAGCTTTCCATACAGAGTTCAAATCTTCTAACTGGAAGAATTAGTCTGGTGGACATTAAACAATTCCAAGTATTTACATTTGGCTTTATATTTTAAAAACCATTGAAATCTAAAAATGTCTTCTGTAATGATTCCATTCACTAATCTATGTGATAGAAATAAATAAATGCAATGATGAAATAAATGCAGTGATTGCTTCTGAAGAGATGGACTTAGAAAGGGCCTGAAGAATTTTCCAGGAAGAGGCTGGGGATTTAGCTCAGTGGCACAGCGCCTACCTGGCAAGCACAAGGTTGTGAGTTCAATTCCCGGTACTGGAAAAAAAAAAAAAAAAGAATTTTCCAGGGAGATGGAAATGTTTTGAGAGACGTATGGGTTACATGAAAGTATACATTTGTCAAAAATTTTCAAAGTATATACTTCAGATCTGTGTGTGGTACTATATGTAAATTATACTTCAATTATTAAAAATGCAAAAAATATAATTCAAAATCACATGCATATTATAAGATATTATTCTAGAAGAAAATAATAACTACCTATAACCTTAGCAGGGTTAGCATTTCTTCCTATTTTTTATTTTTTAATTTATTTTATTTTTTGTCTTTTTGAGGCAGGGTTTTGCTATGCAGTTCAGGCTGACCTTGAGCTCACTTTGTAGCCCAGACTGGTCTCAAACTCATAATGATCCTCCTGCCTCAGCCTCCCAAATGCTGGGATTACAGGCATGTGCCACCACGCCTGGCTGTTTTTTTCTTTTAAATTATATCAGTCATTGATACTGTACCTAGTTGTTTGTATCTGATTTTTTTTTTGAGACAATGTCTGACTGTGTAGCCCAGACTGGCCTTAAATTCACAGCAATCCTCTTGCCTCAGCCTCCCAACTGCTGGAATTACAGATGTGCACCAGCATGCCCAAATTGTATCCTGATTTTTCCACTTAATGTTTTATAAGATTATTCCTATATCATTTAACATTCTTAAAATAATGATTTTTTTTTTAACCCTCCCATTGTTCCATTGGCAGGCTTTGGACACACTTACCTGGTGCCACCCACAGTGCAGGTATGCTGCACTTGGAGTCCAGCCTGCAGAGTGGCTACAAATGCCAGACACTCCACATCATTCTCCTTTTCTTTGCTTTTTCCTTAGGGTTTAAAATTTATTTACATCAGTAAAGAGATTAAATTTAATGTAAGAAATGGTTTTGAGATTGTATAGCATTTCAAAGTATGGATGTAGGCTGTGCGTAGCAGCACACACCTGTAATCTCAGCACTTGGGAGGCTGAGTCAGGAGGATTGCTGCAAGTTTGAGGTCAGCCTGGGCTACATAGTGAGTTCAAGGCTGGCCTGAACTATATAATGTGACCCTGTCTCAAAAAACAACACCCAAACAGGTATAGCTTTATTAAGATAGTATTTTTATTCAGTAAACTGCACACTAAGTGTATAACTTTGTGTTTTGACACATGTGTACTCCTGTGAAACCCATGGACACAGTCAAGGTCAAAAAGTTGCCTCTTGTCTTTGTGATACCACTTTCTCTACTGCTGATCAGATCCCTGCCCAAGAAACCAATGACAATGATTTCTGTCACCATAGATTTGTTTTCATATTCTAGAATTTAATAATGGAACCATATATTTTATTTATTTATTTATTTTTAATATGAGGGGTTTAAACTCAGGACCTTCATACTGAGCTACATCTCCAGGCTTTTTTTTTTTAAGACAGGGTCTCCTTATGTAGTTCAGATTGGTTTTGAACTCACTGTGTAGCCCTTGGACTTGCAGTGATCCTTCTGCCTCAGCCTCAAAAGTGCTGGGATTACAGGCATGCACTGCCATACCTGACTCTAGCCCTTCTTTTAATTTTTTGAGTCAGATTGTTGCTAAGTCGCTAAGTAACCTCTGCTGGGTTTGAACTTGTGATCCTCCTGCCTCAGTCTCCTAGAGTGCTGGGATTATAGGTACACACCACCATGCGCAGCTTTTACTTTCTTTTGGTCTGACTTCTTTCATTATTTCTCATTATTTAACTATTTTGAGAGATATCCATGTCATTTCATGTATCATTATTCTTATTTCTGAGTAGTATTCATTGCATGCATATCCCACAGTTTACATATTCATCTGTTTTCATTTTTCTTGGGTAAATACCTGGGAATGAAGTGGCTTGACCATGTATATGTTTACTTGTTAAAGAAACTTCAAGTACACTTTTTCAAATTGACCTCAAGAAAGGTAGTTCATGTGTAAAATTTCACCAGTATTCTATGAGAATGCCCATTTCATTACACTCTGGTCAATGCTGATAATCATTCTTAATACCACTATGTAATACGTTTTTAGATTTTTTCTTTCATTGACCACTGTAAGTTGAATATTTTTCATGAGTTTATTGATATTTCATCTTCTTTCGTTGCTTTTGTGTTTTATTAGATTGCCTGTTTTTTTTTAAACTAACTTTAAATGTTCTTTATATATTAAGGAGACTTAAATAAAAATCTTACCACCCAGGTGTATTTCTTAAACCTATGAGTATTTTAAGTAGTATATATATTTTAGTATAATACCTATATTTTTTGGGAAGCAGTATTTATATTAGTAATAAAATGACAATTTAAAAATACCTCTCTGTGTTGCATAAGGAAGCAAGAATTCAAAATGCTTAGCAGTAGCTTCTATGCGCATAACAAGATTGAGGACAACTCCCGAAAGAATGCTGTACCTACTTTTTTTGTTGTTGTTTTGCTGTTCTTTTTGAGACAGGGTCTCACTATGCAGTTCAGGCTAGCCTTGAGCTCACTGTGTAGCCTAGGCTGGTCTCAAACTTGGGGCAGTCCTCCTGCCTCTGCCTCCTGAGTGCTGGGGTTGCAGGCAGGTCCCACCACATTTGGCATTGCTTTTTTTTGAGACTCGATCTTGCTGAGTCATTAAGTTATGCAGGCTGGCCGAGGCTCTAATTGCAGTGCTCCTGCCTCAGACTCACTGAGTACTGAGGTTACAGGTAGGCACCCCCCAGTTCTGCCTGCATTCTAATCGTTTTTATGTTATCTGTCTTCCAGATGTATGACTATCCAGGTAACCTCAACGTCACTTTTGTCATATATTTTTGGTCATTACAATAAGAATTCACATCTCCAATGTTTATCATATTGTTTTTCAAAAATCCTTAAAGTATACTGCCAGATGTACATTTTAAATTTTTTCAAAACTCTATGTTGTAGTAAATACAAATGATTAACTACCAGTGACCAGTGAGTGTTTTTATGCAAATACATAAATTATCATATTTCTCTACTATTTCTTTCTTTCTTCATTTATTTATCTATTTATTTACTGCAGTACCAAGGATTAAATCCACCACTTTTACACTGAGCTACCTTCCAGCCCATTCTTTTAATTTTTTTCTTTTTATCTCAGTAGGTCACTAAGTTTCCCAGGCTGGACTGAAACTTACAACCCTCCCACCTCAGCTTTGTCCTGGGATTTCAGGCATGCACCACCATACCCAGCATACCACTCTACATTTACCAAAAAAAAAAAAAAAAAGGAAATCCTGTGAACATTAAATTGTTTATACTTTACAGAAACTGGGAAATCTTTCCAAACTTTGCCAGTCCCTGCTCTCTACTCTTCCATTTTCCTAGTCTTACCAACTTAAACCAGTGAGCTGTGTCACTTAAGGCAAGTCACGTAACTTCCCAAAGCCAAACCTCATGAAGCTTGAGTTTCCTCATCTGTGATATGGGTATACCATTAGTGTCTACCTCAGAAGTTCCTTGTGATGATTACCTTAAATAATGTAATAAAGTACATTGTACATTATCTGGCACATGATAAGCCTTTAGTAAATTGAATCAAAAGGTTTCTTAGAGATTTTTTCTTCCTTAAATATTTTGAAAAATTTTAGCATTTGGTCTAAAAGTAAGCTAAAGGTGAATTATCATAATCTCAAGCACTGCTGCAGTAACCCCGGCTGCTTTAGTAGTGGGGCTAGGACGTTGCTGCATAGCTTATAGAAGAAGGCAGACACGAATATCTTCTGGTTTATGTGGACATAAGGCTTGGATTACTTTACTGAAATAAAATAATGACTGCCCTTATGTGGTTGATGTTTGAGTAAAAGTCTTTTGTACTGTGCTCTTTCTGTCCTTCCTTATCTTTCCCAGCTGAGTTCCAGAAATTGGGGATCCAGTGCTTTTACCATAACGCTTATCTGGTAGGTTGGGCCAACGTACTATTCCTCTGCTGCTTGCCATCTCAGCTGCCGAATATCTGCTTAGAAATTCAAAAGAGCCTGAAGAAGACCTGCATTGTGTACAGCTTTGCAGCCGCCATCCCACTCCCCAGGTACCTTGTTAGGATGAGAACAGAACTGGTGCCTGCCTCACCTTTGACTTCTGTTTACCACCTCTACCGTAGCCCCTACCTTTTAGAGTCAGTCTTTACAGTGATGAGGAGGCTGCTTAATCTGCAGAAGGATCCAACTCCCCTTTCTAATTGTGCCTTCTTCATTCCCCCCCATAGTACTTGTGAGTGGGATATTTTCTTTGCTGTACAAATGTATAGAACTGTAATAACACATTACCACCCCACTTTGTCGAGCTGAATAATATTCTTCTGTGTATCAGTGAAAAGGGAAACCACCAGTTACCATGATAAATTACTGAAAATGTGCCCATATTATTTTTGTAGTTCTAGTGTCTATCCCAGTGCTCGACACATTATAACATTTAGTAAGGATTTGCTAGGTGGATGGATGAACAATCTAAGTAATTTATGACCTCAGCACAGATCCAGACCTGTTTTGCCTCTGAGCAGCGCTGAGCAGGAAGGAGTCTGCTGGGGTTGGATGTATTCCAGACCGAGTGCTCCACTCCCTGTCTTGGTGGCTTCCAGGTTGAAACTACTACTAAACACCACCAGTATTTTGCGGCCTAAGTATCAGTGTGCTGAGGATTTTGACAACATCTGGGGAGCCAATAAGGAAATCACCGCTGCTCTCCAAGATGCTGTGATTCTTCGGGCTACCTGCCCTTACAGTCCTGCTGGTAATAGTTCACTATATTTTTAGCATTCTTTTAAAAATTTTCTTCCCCTTGGCCTGTTGCCATATTGTGGGTGTTTTTTTTTTTTTTTTTTTTTTTTTCCAATATTGTTAAATCCGTATGCTGTATGTTGGGGGTGGGGGAATGGAGCACAAGTTAGACACGTTCTCAGCCATTTAGGTTTGGTATGGGGACAGTGGTGGTAAAAATAGCCTTTATTAGGAAGAGTTGAGAGGGCTAATTATTTGATCCCTTGAGGAAGAACCGGAAGCACCAAGGGGAAATAGCTTAAACAGGCAAATGCAATGTCTAGGGATGACATGGCTTTTCCTCGTAGTTTTACAGTTGCCCCAGTTCCTTTCCCTTGTTGGCAAAGATCATTCTGGAGGAACTTTTGCCCTTAGTCATGTCTACATTAGTGGCACCTGCCCTTCTTTGGTATAATCAACACATCCTGTGTTATAAAGGGCAAATAGAGCTGTTGGCCAAGTAGGAGAGAGAGTTTCCTTATCTTGAGGTCCATATTACCAACCTGTATTGACAAAAAAAGTGGGTTCTAGTCACTGGCTGGGATTTATTCTACTTCCCTGTAACTACGTTCCCTGCTGCTAACTGTTATTTATCTTTTCATTGATGTTTAGGGGGAATAACCCTTAATATCAAATGGTTGGAGGGAGTATTCTATGCAGTCCTAAACATCTGCACAGCAAGCAACATGCCGTATTTACAAGTGCTGCAGCTTCTGAATAAAGTGTTTCTTTCTGTGCACTATGAAGACTGTAAAACAGATGAAACATCTTGCCCCAAATTTCAGTTAACAGATTTTGTCAATGCAGTCTATATGAGGAACATGTTTCAGCAAAGGTAAGATGGGGCCAGGGATGTAGCTCAGCACCTGTCTGGCAAGCGCAAGATCCTGTTACGGTTTATATCTGTGTGTCCCCCCAAAGCCTCCTGTGGCCCTGGAGCAGGCTATTAGAGTTTGAATATGGGTGTGAGAGCTACACCCGCCCTGGGGTGGATAGTTTACATATGTAAGGGAGAGGAAGAAGCTGCTTGAGGCTATTCCTCCTCCATTCCGCCCTCATGTGTGTGCTTGTAGCTTAGCTGTGTGCTGCCGCCCTGAGATGCAGCCCTCTGCCACATGCCACTCTGCCTTATAATCATGCCTAGTACAGATTGAAACCTCCACAAACTGTAAGCGCAATAAACCTTTCCTTCCTTAATTTTGGTCGTCAGATATTTTGTCCCAGCAACGAGAAAAAAGTAACCAAGACAGATCCTGAATTTGATTTTTGGTACCAAAAAAAAAAAAAAAGAAAAGGTAAGATGGCAGACATCTGGCCATTCAGATTTCTCCCATATTCTTGTCTTGTCAAATTTTTTTTTATTCTTTCATATTCTCTTTTAAAAACTGATAAAATAATGCATTTTTAAAAAAATTCAGCCAGTGGAAAAGTGAAAGCCTCTTTTTCCTCCTATATCTCATTTCATAAATTTTACTTCTAAAAGTTTTTATATTTTGTCTTCTTATCAATGCATTTATAGATATATAAATTGTCATTATAACACACATACATATCTATTCCTATGTATGGTACTAGAAACCTGGGAACTACATATACTGATTTCACTTCCTATAATAGATACTATTGTAGGTTAGTATAATCATATCCTTTATGAGACTAGGCTTCAGTTTGATACATTTATTTAATTAAATTTATTTTCCCTATTTTTACTTGATAAACATGCAGTTCTTTTCTCTGGCCCCAAATTTTGCACAAAAGGCAGCTTTGGATATTCTTGCACTAAATATATGGAAGAATTTCTGGGTTAGAGAATATATATTCCCAAATTGCTTCTCAAATCATCTCCACAAACATGAAAGTACCATTTCTCTACACATTGATAACTATAAAATTAATCCTTTTAGTCTTTGAAAATCTAATATGTAAAAATTGGTGCCCTTATTACTAGTGACTTCCATGTCACTAGATCTGCAGAACACTTTAAGCTCCTTCTCTCCCTTGACTAATGAATGTGCCATCCTTACTGAACCAATCTCTTCTCTCAGAGTTCATGATAATTCACATCCCCTCATTTTTTTCCTTTCTCTCTGGCCTCTCCTTTGTTTTTTTTTTTTTTTTTTTTTTTGTCTTTTGGAGACAGAGTCTCCCTGTGCAGTTCAGGCTGACCTTGAGCTCACTTTGTAGCCCAGGCTGGTCTTGAACCTGCAAGGATCCTCCTGCCTCAGCCTCCCAGGTGCTGGGATTACAGGCGTGTGCCACCACGCCTGGCATTGGCCTCTCCTTTGTCAGCTCTTACTCTGTTCCATGTCAAATTCCAGCCCTGGGGTTTTCTTTGAGACCATAGTGTTTTTTTTGCGGGGGGAGGGGGTTCTGGTACCAGGAATCGAACTCATGACCTTGCGCTTGCCAGGCAGGCACTGTGCTACTGAGCTAAATCCCCAGCCCTTCTGGGGTTTTCTTATTGGTGAGGTTTTTATTACTGGATCAATTTATTGCCTATTATTGGATTATTTAGGGTTTCTATATCTTCTTGGTTCAATTTTGGTAATTCATATATATGTAGAAATCTGCCCATTTCTCTTAGATTCTCCAATTTATTGGAGTACAGGTTTTCAAGGTAATTACTAACGATCTTCTGGATTTTGGTGGTATCCATTGTTTTGCCTTTTTCATTTCTAATTGCATTGATATGAGTCTTTTCTTTTTTGTAAGATTGGCTCAGGATTTCTATTTTCTTTATTCTTTCAAAGAACAAGCTCATTGGTTCACTGATTCTATTGATTTTTTTGGGGGGGCGGTCTTTTTCAGACAGGGTTTCGCTTTGCAGTTCAGGCTGGCCTTGAGCTCACTTTGTAGCCCAGGCTGGTCTCGAACTTGCAATGACCCTCCTGCCTCAGCCTCCCAAGTGCTGGGATTACAGGTGCGCACCACCACACCTGGCTATTCTATTGATTTTTTTTAGTCTCAATTTCATTGGTTTTTGCCTTATAATTTCCTTTCTTTTACAGTTTTACATTTGGATTGTTCTTGCTTTTCTAGGACCTGAAGGTGTATCATTATGTTTTTTATTTGGCCTTGCTGTGTTTTTCTGATGTGGGCATTCACAGCTGTAAACTTCCCTCTTAGGACTGCTTTCATTGTGTCCTGTAGTTTCTGGTGTATTGTACTGGCATTATCATATGATCCCAAGAACTGATTTCTTCTGTGACCCACTGATTATTCAAAAACATATTGATTAATCTCCGTGTATTTGCATAATTTCCGTGGTCTCTTTTGTCATTCATTTCTAATTTCATTGCACTATGGTCTTATAATATGTATGGGTTAATTCTGATTCTTTCATATTTAACCATGATTTATGGGCTATTAGGTCTATTTGGGAGAAAGTTCCATATGCTGCTGAGATGAATTTGTAGAGAATTTGCATTTTTACAGGATCCCATGTGATACTTATGCATATAAAATTGGAAAAGTAATGAGCTACATTCTTGTCAAATGAACTTTTAGAAAGAGAGGTTTGGCGTATTAGTATTTCCATTTGATTGTAGTTTCTCATATTCACTCCATATTTGTAATGATCTTTCTTTATAAAGTTTGAAGCCACCAGGCATTGTAATCCCAGCACTCAGGAGGCCGAGACAGGAAGATTTCTCAGAGTTTGAGGCTAACCTAGGCTACATAGTGAGTTCAAGGCCAGTCTGAACTAAAGAGTGAGACCCTGTCTCAAAATAAGAAAAGGAAAAGGAAAGGAAAGAAAACAAAAAATGTTTGAAGCTGTGTCATCTGATGAATAAAGGTTCACAATTTTTAATATAGTCTTGGTGCAATATATTTTCATTGAATCTCCCCTCTTCTTTGAAGTCTAAAAACATACTTTTAAAAAATGCAGTTAATTTTATAACAAAATTGAGAGGAAGATATAGAGATTTCCTGTCTCCCTGCATACATAGCCTCCCACATTATCAACTTTCCCCCACTGGAGTGATGCATCTCTTAAAATTTACCAACCTACATCCATATATCATTATCACTTTGAGTCCATAGTTTACATTAGGATGAAGAAATGTATGAGGGCTTTGAAGAAATGTATAATAATTTTCATCTTCCACTCTAGTATCACACAGAAAATTTTTACTGCTGTTTTCTCTGTACTCCTCCACTCATCCCTCCTGCCTCAGTCTCCTGCCTTGGCAAGCCCTGATCTTTTTACTGTATCAATAGTTTTCCCTTTTCCGGAAGATTATATAGTTAGAGTCACAGAATATGTAGCCTTGTAAATGGGCTTCTGTCATTTACAAATACATGTTTCCTTCATGTCTTTTCATAGCTTGAAAGCTCATTTAGTTTTACTGCCAAGTAATGTTGCACTGTCTGGCTCTGTTACTACGGTTTATCTATTCATTTACTAAAGGACATCTTAGTTGTTTCCAAGCTTTGGTAATTGTGAATGCTCCTATAAACATCCGTAGGCAATTTTTGTGGGAAAACATGTTTTTGGTTTATTTTAGTAAATGCCAATATGTTCGATTGCTGAATCATCTGCTAATTTTATAAAGAAAAACAAAACTACCAAACTGTCTTCTGAAGTATCATTTGTATTCTCACCCACAATGAAGAGATTTACTATTGCCCTCTATGTTGTCAGTGTTTCACATTCTGGCACTTCTAGTAGAAGTGGATGATTGTTTCATTGCTGTTCTAATTTGGAACTGCGTATTGTTGAAGATCTTTTACTATGTTTATTTGCTGCATGTACATCTTTTTTGGTGAGGTGACTATCAAGGTGTTTTACCTATTTTTGAGTTTTTCATTTTTATGTTGTTTTAAGAGTTCTTTGTATATTTTGGATAACAAAGATATATCTTTTGCCAGTATTTTCTCCCAGTCTATTGCTTGCATTTTCATTTTCTTGACAATATTTTTCATGGAACAGAAATCTTTAATTTTACTTAAGTCCAATTTATCAATTCTTTCTTCTATGGATCATGCCTTTCACATTACAGTTATGCCTTCCACATTACTACCAACCCCCCTTGGAGGGAGTCAACTAGATTTTTTTTCTATTATCTTCTGGGACTTTTGCAGTTATACATTTTACATTTAAATTTGTTAGGGTTTTTCTTATCTGTTTTAGTCTTTTTAGATTTTTGAAACACGGTCTCATGTAGTTCAGGCTGGGTTTGAATTCATTATGGAGCCCAAGCCTCTCTCAAAATCATGGGAATCTTCCTGCCTCAGCCTCCCTAGTGCTGGGATTACACGTGTACACTACCATGCCAGTTTAAATTTGTGATACATTTTGAATTCATTTTTTGTGAAGGGTGTAAGTTCTGTGTCTATATTAGTTTTTTCTCATGTGTATGTCCAGTTGTTCTATTGTCATTTGTTGAAAATGCTATGCTTTCTTTTTCTTTTTGTCTTTTTGAAACAGGGTTTTGCTATGCAGTTGAGGCTGGCCTGGAACTCACTTTTTAGCCCAGGCTGGCCTTGAACTCAGTGATCCTCCTGCCTCAGTCTTGTGAGAGCCAGGATTACAGGCATGTACTACACGCCCAGCCAAAAATGCTATGTTTTCTTCATTGTATTGTTTTTGTGTCTTTGTCAAGGAGTATTTACTTGGGTAAATACTTCTTGCATGGTTCTAAAGAGTAGTCAGTTTAATTCATATCTTTGTTCCCCTGTTGGTACAGTCCTTTTTCCTCTAGCTTTTTCAGGATTTTTCTATATTTGATTTTCTATAGTTTTAAAATATCTAGATGTAGGTTTTTGTTGTTGCTTTTGTTAGCACTTTTTTTTTTTTTTTGTATCAGGAATCAACCTCTGACCTCGTGCTTGCCAGGCAGGTGCTGTGCTGCTGAGCTATAACCCAGGCCCCATTAGCACTTATCTTGATTGATATTCTCAGCTTGCTTCCTGGATCTCTGGTCTGGTGTCTGACATTGATCTGGGGAAATGCTCAATCATTATTGTTTCAAATATTCTGTTCTTTTCTCTCTTTCTTCTCCTCTAGGGTTATTATTGTGTGTATGTTACACCTTTTATGATGGTTCCACAGTCCTTGGATGTTGTGTTCTGTATTTTTCAGTCTTGTTTTGTTTTGCTTTGCTTTGCTTTTCAGGTTCAAAGTTTCTCCTGGGATATTTTCAAGTTCAGCGGGTCTTTCCTCAGTCATGTGTTTAGCAGCCAAGTAAGATATACTGAACGGATAAAAAAAATAACAATTTTTTTCTACCTCAGGCCTTTCCCCTGGTTTGATCTGATTGATGTGCAACTCAAGGAAAATCCCTTTAGCCAGTGTCTCTCAAGCAGTCCTGTTCTCCGAGACCATCTGACCCATCTGTATTGTGATTTCTTTGGCATTTCCCTCGTCAATGAAGACCAGCCAGTGGTTTCCATGGATTCTCCATCCCAGTAAGAGATCTCAGGGATGAGGTGGATTTTTTTCCCTCTCACAGATTTGCTCTATGTGGTTATATCCTGATTATTACAGTTGACAAGTAATAACATGACTGCATTATGTTTGAAAATTGTATTGGTGGATCTTTCAAATGTAGAATAAACAAGAAGTCCTATACATCAACGTATCTGACTGTGTCTAACTTTCAGAAATGACCAAACTATAAACCTAATGCCCATTAATAAACCAGAAAAGCCTTAACACAAATTATTTCTCTTCTAAAAGTTAAATTCAAGAAGTTACCATTGATATTGTCCTACCACTTTGTAATTCGGTAAATCCCCCTATTACTATGTTATCCTTCTTTTACTCTTTTAAACAAATTAAAAAAAGAAAGTTATGCTGCCATTATTAAAAAATTATATACTGTAACTTTTTTTTCCCTGTGTGGTATATAACTGACAAATGATACAGCAGCTTGATTTTCCTACCATTTTGGATAGAGGAGTGAATGTTTGGTAAACAATATTGATTCATTTCATGCTTATTTCAATTATATGTTTTTTCTGGTACTATCTTATTTAAAGCTGTTCCTCTTTAAACCATAAAGCAAAATAAAAAATAACTGCCATTTATATTAAATGACTAAAAGAATTTTTCAAAATATAGATCTTATTTATATAATGAAAATTTGTTTATTTCCCTTATGCTTTGTGAATACTTTTTGTCAACTATAATAAGAGCAGTGACCCTATCAAGCTAGGAAAACATGCTACTTACTGTGCTCTGTCATGGAACAGAAACAGTTTTCTAAATGCTGAAATGCTTTTAAACAAAACCACTTAGCACACATGGAAATCACCATGGTCTTAAAGCAGCCATTTACATTGTTTTGCATAATCATGAGCAAGGCAAACTCAAAGGTATGATATGTGAATAGTGTCTGACAAGACTTTTTAATTTGGGAAAAATTAGGTTCATCAAATATTAATACTTGGCATGAATGTTAACTTCAGGTACTGTTCCTTCTCTTTGTAGGAAAAAAATTCTTCTATTTATTCAGGTGTAGAAGACCAGACAAGGTACATCATTGTCCTTTGGATTATATTAGCCCTGTAGGGGTTATTTAGATTAAGAAATGAGACTAGGAAAGAGCAAGCTAGAGGAGAGTGGGGGTCATTCAAGCAACAAAAAGTATAATCATTTATTTTGAGAAGTCCAGTTATGAGTAGACTCTAGCCTGAATTTCATTTTATAAAGCTCGGGGGTCAATTCCTGGTACCAGAAAAAAACCAAAAAAAAAAAAAAAAAGCTTGGTTACTATGTAAAGGAACCTTATATGCTGTAAAGGCTTGTGTCTAGATGTACCCTCAAAGCCTCATTCAGTAACAGGCAGGGCTTTTTCAGGGGTGGCTGGATCTCAATTTTGTGATGCTGGGATTAAAGGTGTGTGGTTACTAAATTAGTCCACTGACTGGTTTGGCATAGTTCTGGGAGTGGATATGGTAAGGTCCTCCCTCGGTGTGAATGCTACCTGCCCTAAGGGTGCATAGCCTGGATAGAATACAAGGCAGAAAGAGGGATGCTGTTGCTGCTTGCTGCCTGGTTCCTCCCTACTTCGATGCTTTGCTGGCTTCCCACCTTCTGCCCACCAGGAACTGTTTCTCTTCTGCGATGCCCCTCTGTCATGCCACCTTGCCTTGGAGCCAGCTATTCCTTTTTTTCTGGAGCCAGCTATGAACTGAAACCTCTACAAATAGAGAGCTAAATAAATAAACCATTTTTCCTTTAACCTTGTGTTGGGTATTTTGTCTCAACAAGAAAAAGTAACTAAGACATAAGCAAACTCCAGACCCTGTATCATTGTCAGTGATATTTCAGTAAGTCATGTTATTTTTAAGAGAACATATACAAATTTTTAAAAATCTTTTTTTTCCTCTGATGACTAAAGGAGAACTTCCTGCTCCTTGAAACTTTTCCCCACTTTGGAAGACATAATTGCAAATCTTATGTATGTTTTGAAGATATATATCTTTAAAAAAGCTAAGCCCCTTGCCAGTTTTATACCCAAGGACAGTTTTTTGGGGGCCTTGGAAACGTGAGCAATGGGGCAAATGGTGCCATCTCCCTCTGTCTATGGGGAGGTTATCCTGGGGATCTGGCTCCACATAGTAACTTCTAACTTGTCAACAGGATATGTGAAGTTTTCTTTTTCCTTTGGATACTGATAATTCATATGTATGTAAAGGATAGTATGTGCCTGCCTATTTTATTTTATTTTATATTTTATTTTATTTATTTTGAGACAAGGTCTTGCTACGCAATTCAGGCAGGTCTTGAGCTCACTTTGTAGCCCAGGCTGGCCTTGACCTCATAAGGATCCTCCTGCCTCAGCCTCCTGAGTGCTGGGATTACAGGTATGCATCACCACACCCGGCTTGCCTACCTGTTTTATGTATGTATGTATGTATGTATGTATGTATGTATGTATGTCTTTTTGAGGCAGGGTCTCGCTATGCAGTTCAGGCTAGCCTTGAGCTCACTTTGTAGCCCAGGCTGGTCTCGAACTTGCAAGGATCCTCCTGCCTCAGCCTCCTGAGTGCTGGGATTACAGGCATGTGCCACCGTGCCTGGCTTTGCCTGCCTGTTTTAAAGAGTGAGATTTCTTTGTCTTTGCAATCTATTTAGTAGCTTGCCTGCTGCATGCATCAGTTTAATGGTCAATAAAAGATTTCTATATTCGTGGAAAGTATTATCTGGGGTGGCAAGCGTTTTTATTTTTAATTATACTTTCCCATCATGCTCCTTCCACCAGGCATACTTATTAGAATTTATCAGGAGTTCTTACAGTTACCCAGAAAGAAAAGAATTGCCCTGTTTTAACAAAGGGCTAAAGTGAAATACAAATAATGGGAAGAGGCTATGAATAAAGAACTAGGAATGGAGCCAGCAGTTCTCGGATCTTTTTTTTTTTTTTTTTTTGAGACGGGGTCTCAGGCTGGTTTTGAACTCACTATGTATCCCAGGTTGGCCTCAAATTTGAGGTGATCCTCCTGCCTCAGCCAAGTGCTGGGATTACAGGTGTGAGCCACCACGCCCAGCCCCTGATCCTTGTGGAAAAGGAAAAAAAGAAAACCCAATGGAGACCACACCTCTTTCCCCAAGTAATGCCCTTCAAGGTAAGTGACATGACTTTTTCTCCTCTGTAACTGAGTGCAATTTAATGCCTCATTCCTTTCAGAGAATTATTTATGGAGCATAGTCCTGTAATCCTGCTGCTTCGACAAATTCAGAGAAGGTCAAGCGATCAGATTTCACGCCAGTATGACTTTTTTGTTCTAAAAATAAGCCAATATTGTCTCTGTAGGGAAGTCTGATGCTGCGACTGAATAGTGGCTCTTCAATTCCCAGGAGCTCCCTCACGTGTCGAGAAATTACCTGCAATGCAAGGATATTTTCTAAATGGAACCAATGTAAAAATACCATAAAGTCAAAATTTTCATTACTTTCCTAGTGCTCTTGAATGGCAATCCTTCAAATTATTTCAATGGGAAAAAATAATGAAATAATATCATGGACTTACTAGCCTAGCCTTACCAAAAACTAAGCTCTTAAGAGAAATGTCACATAATTTATTATCTTTTTAAAAGTACCATTTAAAGATATCTGCAGCCTCTTGCAGTAGATGGCCATAGATGGGTTAATTTCTTTTCAATAAACAATATGGCCAACTATAAAAGCAGATAATATGGTTAGCCATGCATGGTGATACACGCCTATGGTCCCAGCTACTCAGGAGGCTGAGGCAGGAGGATCACCCAAGTGCAAGGCCAGCCTGAACTACATAGTGATACTATGTTCCAAAAAAAAAAAAATTAAAACTACTGGTCCACGTTAAAGACTAAAATTCATGCCATAGACAACTCTAAACCTGATGCAAACTACTGATTAGCAATGCAGTTTATACTTTTCTTCTTAAATCTTACCCAGCCTGGTTTTGTTTTGTTTTTACACTATAGAGATGGTTTGTGGGTAAAAGACAAGTCTCCATAGTCACCTGGCATTCACAATGAAAATATTAATTAAAGTCCATAGCAATACAGTTTCCAAGAATTGAAATTCAAACAGGTGTCTCTTCAGAGTTCTCTCTTTTTTTTTTTTCCTCCGGTACTGGGAACCGAACTCACGACCTTGCGCTTGCCAGGCAGGCGCTTTTGCCGCTGAGCTAAATCCCCACCCCCCTCTTCAGAGTTCTCATTTGTACTGATGATGCCACGCTGAACACCTTGTTTGGTCAGCACCTCACCCTGATCCTTTCTGGATTCTTACAAGTTCCCTGAGGCTTACAGCCAGGGCCCCCAGGAGGCCTGTACACCTTCAATACAGGTTCAGTGCTCCTAATCCAAAAATTTGAAATGCTCCCAAACCCAAAACTTTATGAATGCCAACATGATGCCACAAATGGAAAATTTCATACCTGACCTCACATCAAAATGCAGTCCTGTCCCCAAGATATTCATTGTGTATATGCAGATATTTTGAAATTCAAACAAATATGAAATTTGAAACACTTCTGGTTCCAAGCGTTTTGTATAAGGGATATTCAATCCGTATGAACACAGTCCAGTACTCTAGTAATATATGATAATGTAGAAATTAAAAGTTATAAAGTATATAAGTGTATAATCAAGAAACACAATCTAAATCAGGTGTGGTGGTACATGCCTGTAATTCCAGCAGGCTGAGGCGGGAGGATCACTTTGAGTTCAAGGCCAACCTGGGCTACAAAGTGAGTTTAAGGCCAGCCTGAACTGTATAGTGAAATTCCATCTCAAAAAGAAAAAAAAAGACAAAAAAGGAAGAAAGAAAGAAAAAGAAAAAAAAAAGAAATACAATCTAACCCTCCTCTAATTCAGTGATTCTTAAACTGTGTCTGAGGTTCACCCATAGACAATGAGAGTTCTCTGACAGACCATATATTGACCTAAAACAACAAATATTTTCTTTAGTTCTCATGAACAAATAATAAGCAAGAGATTTTATTTTTTCCTAGGACTTAGAGCACCTAATTATTTACTTGAGTTATAAAGATTATTAAGAATAGGTATTTTTAAAGATGATTAGAGTTTCCTAAAGGTTGTTAATTCCCCATTCTAAGATAATGGCACACACAATGGTTGGAACCACTAAAGGGCACCTATTTCACATGGCCTCAGCTGATACTTGTAATGCCTATAGTTTTCAAGAAGATTCTATTACTACTCATCATCATTGTATCTTGCATTGGTTAGGCTTACAAAGGCTGTTATTCTTTTTTTTTCTCTGTCTTTGAGACAGGGTGTCACTATGCAGTTCAGGCTGGCCTTGAGCTCACTTTGTAGCCCAGGCTGGCCTCGAACTCACAACTTCTATCTCTGCCTCTCTAGTGCTGGCATTACAGGCATGTGCCACCATGCCCAGTTCAAAGGCTGTTATTCTTAATTTTATTTGTAAACTTCTGGTTTTGCTTCATCATTACAGATTTATTGTGCATACTAGAACCTATAATTTACTTTAAACATAAAGATATAATATTGTGGTTCAAATATAGATCCTTTATACCACCATTAAAATCTAGAGATACAGCTTCCTTAAAATTTGCTTGTGATTCTTGTAAAAACATAGATTAATTTTAAATGCATTTTGCTAAGGGAAAAAGGTTGGATCCAACAGCTACAATTCATTTGATTTTATTTATGACATTAAATTTTTTTAATTAATTAATTTTTTTGTTTTTTTGAGACAGGGTCTCTCTATGTAGTTCAGGCAGGCCTTGAACTCACTATGTAGTCCAGGCTGGCCTTGAATTTGCAGTAGTCCTCCTGCCTCAGCTTTCTACCTGCTGGGATTAAAGGCATGTACCACGATACTTGGCTCTTAAGTGACATTTTAGAAAAGGCAAAATTATAAGGACAAACCGATCAGTAATTGCCAGGGATTAGTGTGGAGGGACAGGTTGATTATCTAGGAGACATGGGGGAAAGTTTTAGGGTGAAAGAATGTGTTAAAACCCATTGAATTATTCCTGATAGAAGAATTACTTTACTATATGAAAACTATTAGAAATCCAGGGTGGTGGGAGGATCCAAGACGGAATAGAAAATAGGCTGTGGACAAATGAATCTAATCTTATTACAAAGTAGGACATAATCTCCCTGAAGGGATTGGAAGAGAAAGACACTAACCTAAATAACTTTTAACTTTGGAAAACAGTACTTTTTCTAGATACTGTGAGGCTAAAGACACAAAGAACTGTATGCAAGCATTGTACTCTATGGTAAATTTGTTTCTTATAAGACTTTATAGATAAAAGAGCCAGGTTTCTCACTGTCAGAAAAAGAAGTTATAACTAAGCAAGGGGGTTTGGAGGTAGGATGGCTGTGACGTTTAGAATGTACCCTGCGAGGCTGGAGTAGAGTCAGGGAAATGAATATGAACTCATGATTATTTTAACATATATACACAGAAGTAGATATTTGTGTTCATATGGGTGAGTATATAACATATATTTCCTAAGTCTTTCTGTTGACAGTGCCTAGGCTGAGAATGCCTAGAATAGCAACAAGCACAGCTAATGCCTAATTTTGGTTTCTAAATACCATTCTCTGTAGGAATCAACCAGTATTGTCTGGACACGTGATTGATTCTAGGACTGCAGCAAAGAAAAAAACAACATAAGCCTGAAGCTACTTGTAGTGTCAGAAAGTGGGGAAATGCTTTTTCTAAAATGGGGCATGTTCAAAGGACATAAGAACCAATTTAAAAGAGTTCACAGTTGTCAAAGATGCAATACTGTAATTTGAGCAAAACAACCACAATACTGGGTTATAATCCAAAGAATAAATGTCCATAAATTCATACTGATATAAATGCCTAGATTAAAAACAAGGGAAAAGGGGCAATTAAGTGTAAAAGAGTTCCTTACAGAAGAGCTCCAGTTAAATATAGAAAGAAGGAAATAGTTAATTATCATTAAACAACAAAACAGCAGTAACTGAATAGGCAAGACCACCTGGTGAATGCTAAAATTAGTGGCCAAAACTCTAAGAAACAGGATGTTTGCATAACTTTGAATTAACTTCCCCAATATATTTATCACTATGGTAGTTTTTATTGTATGTCTAAACTCTGATATTCTCCTCTTCTTGAATGTGGCCTGGACTTAGTTACTCACTTCTAAAGAGCAAGATACAAAAGGAAACCACTGTAATTTTACAGAGAAGAAGCTGACACACACCTGTAGCCCCAGGAGTTACTTGGAAGGCTGTGTTGGGAGGGTTGCAAGTTCAAAGCCAGCCTAGCCAACTTAGTGAGACTTTTTCTTAAAAAACAAAACATTACATAGTGAGGAAACCTGGCAAACACCCCTTAACCAAATGATCAGGCTAATGTTTCCAGTAATAAGCCATATTAGTATAATGTCTCAATATGAGATGAGAAGGGCTTATCATCTCTGAGATAGAGTCCTCCTAAATTCATAACCTTAATCATGTGAAAGCACAGAGAAACTAAAACTGAAGGAAATTTATAATAATACTTGTTCACTCATCTTCAAAATTGGCAAGCTCATGAAAAACAGAAAGATCAAGAAACCATTACATACCAGAAGAGACCACAGAAACATAATAGCTCAATGCAATGTAGTAGTCCAGATTATATCATGGAACAAAAAATTATCATCCGTGGGAACAGTGTAGAATCTGAATAAAGTTCATCAGTTAATAATAAAATATTAGATCAAAGGTAATTTCTTAGTTTTAATGAATATACCATAGTTACATAAAATTTTAACATTAAGGGAATATAGGTTAAGAGTATACAGAAACTCACTGTACTGTCAACTCTTCTGTTGTAAAAGTGAAATTTACAAAAGTTTTTTTAATTAAAAAGGTCTGTCTTGCTGACATGTTATAAATTTGTGCTACTTAAGTAATTTGCAACAAGGCCAGGGTAGCAAAATTGCTGAGATACTATAAAGTTTATAAGGTTAGAGTCTATAAAAGCATGCATACAAAATGAATAAACTACTCACTTATGTTCTCCAAATATTTACCACAGCATTCTTTTCCTTACTTAATATAGTGAGTAGTAGGTATTTTGAGAATTATTTTCTAACAGCCAGGCATGGTGGCGCATGCCTGTAATCCCAGCACTTAGGAGGCTGAGGCAGGAGGATCTTTGGGAGCTCGAGGCCAGCCTGGGCTGCAAAGTGAGCTCAAGTTCAGCCTGAACTGCATAACGAGACCCTGTCTTAAAAAGACAAAAAAAAAGGAGAATTATTTTCTAAGAGAGAAAGATAAAGCAAATATAATGCTCTTTGACTAGTTTGCCCCCTAAAATAAGTAAGATTGACTTATTTAAGTGTTGTTATGGGGTATATTTTGGATGTATTAGTTGGTGTAATTACAACAGTGGGATAAAAATGTCATATATAGGCTGGGTGTGTAGCCCTGTGGTGCCACATGTCCTAAGTTTGGATCGCTAGCAATAGAAAAGCAAGCAAACAAAAAAAAAAAAAACAAAATGCTTCCTATAGTAATAAAGAAGATAACTATAGCATACTTAAGTTTATGTATGATTTCTAGAAAGATACCTGTGTCTTAGAGTATAACTACCTTTTTTATATGGAACTAGGGGTCAAGTAATGTTTCTGTAAGATACCTCTAAATCTTGACCTTTTAATGTTACTCTGTTGTTTTAAGGAGAGGCCATATTTATCCGATGACTGATAATAAGTATCTCAAAGTTTGCTTATTTAAAGTTTTTGGGATATAAGGCTAGACTAGTAGGTTTATCATTAACTCTTGAGGATTTCACAGGATATATAAGACTTCATTTCTTGCAAGACCAGAAAAAGCATCATTAGAATTTTTATTGTTGTATATTGATACTGTACTTTTTGAATTAGAATGTCAAAAGAGCAAAATTAATTGGCAGGCTCAAATTCCTTTCTTACTATATAGAGCTGAAATGCTTATATCAGGAGTTCAGATTACAAGTATTTTGTTAATTCTGTGCCTTATTTTTATTTAGAACATTCAGTATACTCTTGAATAGAAATTAGAGCTCATAAATACAGACGTACCATCTTTGAACATAAGAGTAAGATATTTATCTGGCAGTACTTGATAGCTATTTGTAAGAGCATGGTTGGAAATACTGTATTTAATAAGTAGTTTTTTCCATATTATGTATATAGATATTTGTGCCTATAAGAATACTGATTTACAAAGGCAAAATACTGCAGTGATTTAAATAGAACATGGATTGGAAAGTCACATAGAATAGATTGGCTCCCCTGGATCTTATCTAAATTATCTTTTATAAATTGTTTCACCTTTCCAGGCCTGTTTTCTTTTTTGTAAAATGTGGGCTAGGTGAAATGACATACGTATGGTGCCATACATAAAGTAAGCACTTGGCAGAGAGTAACTATTAGCAGAATTCGAAGAGCAAATGTTCAGTTAGGACTCTGTGTTTAATAATTTAAAGAAATTCCTTATATCTCACTGCCAGTAAAAGGACTTGAATATTACCAAGTATAGTTTTCTTATTTTCCAAACCTGATGATGTATGGAGTTACATGGTTCAAGAGTCCCAGAAAACAAATTCCAGAGCTTACTCTAGGGCTAATGAACTAAAATCTCTGGAGGGCAAGCTTGGGAATCTGCCTTTAAAACGAAAACACAGACAAACTCTAATATGATTCTGAGACTACTGTACACATTTGGGAACCAGTGAGATAAAGCATTGGTGGACAACGGTATACTGAGTGAATCCTGTCATATTAGGGTCAGAGCGCTAGAGGAAAGCTTACAGATGAGAGTATGTGATGCTTTGTAAACTGCACAACACTACCAGTGGGGGTTACTGTTAAGCAAAGGGGAGGGATCTTGGACTGCTAGTGCTGGAGAGATGAGACCCAGAGAGGGTAATGTAAGCAGTTTAAAAGTTAGGCAGCAAACCAGGCAAAATATATATGGTGTTATAAGTGCTAAATGGGCACCAGAGGCATAAAATGTTATGAGAGTGGGAAGAAAGGTTACTATAGGATGGCAAGGTAGAAGACTTTGTGGGGAGACAAGAATAAGGAATTGGTTCTGAAGGATCATTAAAATTCCTATTAGTCATACAGGGGAAGAGGAACTGAGCAAAGACACAGAGGGAGGCTTGTTCCAGACAAGTTTGTGATCCTGGGGGTTAGACTCGGTATGCTGGAGCAGAAGATTTACACAGAGAAGGGGAGAGGAATTTACACAGAGAAGGGGAGGCTGGAGAAAGCCTGTGGAGGACATTGAACCCTTATCTAAGGAGCTGGGATACTCTCGTAAGCAGAAGATATCCAAAGGTTTCTGAATAGTGTTTTAGTGAGGGACTAAATGCACAGCCATTGAATCTCAAGGGTCTATGGAGACGCTAAATACAGGGAGCAACCACAGTGTTCTAGGAATAGGGCAGTAACAGTCTGAAAGTGGGAATGGAGAAAAACAGCTCACATAAATGCCGTAAAAGGAACTGACAGTTGTTGGGATCTTTGTATGGATTAAAAGAGAGAGAGCAACCACTGTAAGCCTGGGGGATTTCGAGTACAATGACACCACAGACAGAAATAGGGCTGGAAGAAGAGGAAACAGATGGCAGCATTTGTACACAACTCACCTTCATGTGCTCAAAATCTGTTATCCCCATCTGAGGGAGGTTTGAGCAGTTTACATAGATGAGTTTATTGCCACTGATGAAGTTTGCAGTAAAACACTCCTGTCAGTACAAAAACATCACTTTAAAATGTACTGAAATTAGGAAGATGGAAAAGAGAAGATAGGGAAAGAGGAAGGATGAAAGAAACTATGGTTTCTAGCTCTATACTGAGAAAAAAAAAACTTATTTTGTATCTTAATAATACTACATATTTTCTAAAAGCTGTTCGTTAAACTTCATGCTAATACTTAAAAATTCTGCTGCATGCTACAGTGCTTCATGGTGTTTGTTTTTTAGCAGTACAAGAGACTGAATTCAGGACCTTGCACATGCCAGGTAGGTGCTCTACCATGGAGCTACATCCTCAGTCCTCCTTCACGTTTTCAATTACATTTTTAATACAGGAAGTACAAAAGGTTGCAGATCTTGTTTTGTGGTAGCCTAAAATCACAATTGGCATCAGCAAATTAAGATAATTGCACTATCTTTTTGATAAAACTATTTTGAGTTAATTGGCTAAATTACATTAACCTCCTTACCTGCTTGTGGTCCCTGACATATTTGGGGCAGATACTTAAGATTAAGAGCAGAATTTTTTTTTTTTTTGGTACCAGGAATTGAACTCAGGACCTCGCACTTGCCAAGTAAGTGCTTGTGCCACTGAGCTATATTCCCAGCCCTAATAGCAGAAATTTAAGGTAAGGGAGTTACCACTAAAACAACTTGACAAACTACCAGGAAGTCTATGGTGGACAAAAATTTTAAAATACAGTTTTCTATGAAAAGAGGCCTATACAAATTTCTTAGCCTTTATTGCAGAAAAGTGTAATCTCTGGAATTAATAGAAGAAACAAACACATGTGACCCTCTCTTTCTCACCAAGTACAAATATCCATCTGTGGCAAAGTCAAAATTAAGCCTCGTTACAGGTTAGGGGTGTACACTTAACATGTACAAGGGGTTAGGGGTGTATACTCAACATGTACAATGTTAAGTATACAAGGTGTATACTTAACATGTACAAGGCCCTGGGTTTGCTTCCCAGGACCTCTCTCCAAATCCAAGTTACTTCCTCCACAGTCCAGGACTTTTCTATACTTCTAGTGAAAAAGAAGCAAGGGCTCAGGTCAGGGTAGAGAAACTATGAGATAGGCTGAGAGCATGGGATTTCAAAAGTTATTTTTGTATACCTTGTATTGAGGGAAGCCTAGCTGGCTAATCCACTCTGCAACTTTCTCTGGGCTCCAATTTAGAAACTCAAATTGTGGCTCCGTCCTTTTGGGTGGCCTGGATTCATCTTTAGGTACCAGTTCCTCCAACTCTTGGGACAAATCTACACTTTTCTTCTCATTAAAGGACTCTTTTAACTCCATTTGAGGCTCTGAGAAATGTGAGTTTGAGTATTCACTGAAATCAAGCTCAAGCCGTTTTGAGAATTCTTGCGGATTCTCATAGTGTGTACTAGGTAAGTCTACTTCACTACCTCTGTCAGAACCTACTGCATAGCTGTTTCTAATTTTGTCAGTTTCTTTTATAGACGACTTTCTTCTTTCTCTTAATTTGGCTTCAACTGGCAAGTCTAGATTTTTCTCCTCAGTTGACTCTGTTTTTCTCTTCTCATCAACTGGTTTGGTCATCCATGGTGGCACTTGACTTGTTTCTTCAGTTGATTTTCTTGGTTCCATCTTTGGAAACTCCAATTTAGTCTGTTCTGGTGGCTCTAGGCCTTTCTCCTCAGCTAAGTTTCTTAGTGTTTCCTCTGATACTGACTTCTCTGGCAGTGCCAGTTCTGTCTTCTCCTTTGATTTTATCTGATTCTCTTTTTGATCTGTTCGTTTAGCATGCTCTAGTGGCTCTGGAACTTTCTCCTCAATTGACTTTCTTTGTGTCTGCTCTTCAACACCTGGCTTTGTCTTTTTCTCTTCAGTTGACTCGTTTTGTGTCGCCTCTGGAATCTCTGGTTGGGTCATCTTTGGTGACTGAAGATCTACTTCTTTGATTGATTTTTTTAATTCGTCACTTGCAAAATCTGGTTTGGTCTGCTCTGAAGGCTCTAGCTCTAGTTCTTCATCTTCCTCTCTAAGTGATTCCTCTGGAGCCTCCTGTTCAGTCTCCTCTAATAGTAACTCTAAACTTGTCTCACTGGCTGTGGCTCCTGGTACTTCAGATTTGGTTTCCATTGTTAACTGTATGTCTGTTTCTATAGCCCCTTCTGTGATATCTGGTTTAGCCTCCTCTGGTGGCTCTAGGTCTGGTTCCTCACCCTTTTCATCCACAGGGACCTTCAAATCCTTGTAAAGCTTGCCTCCCATTTCTCCCAGTGTCTCTGACATCAACCCTTGGGGGATCCCGATTTGGGTCTCCTTGGGAATGTCATCCTCAGATGTCCAGGTTGGTTCTAGCTGTACATTCTTTTCATTCTCTGGCTCCTCCTCAGAGTCCTCTTCCTCACTCTCCAGTGGCTGAGGCTCTTCGTTACTCTGAGAGAGTAGCTCCGCGCCTGCCTCTGCCGTGTATTGTTCGGCATCTTCGGACAAGTTACGAAGTCCTGGCATTTCTGGTTTCTCATTTTCATCTGGGTCGGAAGCGTAATCTTCAGAGATTTCAGACATTATGCAGTTCGCGCGCTCATTATGCAGTTGACGCGTTCATTTCGCACCGATGCACGCAGGCCTCCTAGCAACCCTAACTTCCGACAGCGTCTCTATGGATACCACAGTTTCCGGTAGTATCTTCCTGAATCTTCTACAGGTTTTGTTGATTCTTCCAAGCCCTGACTTTGAAGGTTGGCCACCAAAAGCAAGAAGTAATTCTCCCCGCGTCCCCGTCGCCTGCCTCCGCAGAAGACAGTTCCTGCGGCCTCCCCTGGGTCGGCGAGCTCTTCCCGCGGCTCCCGCGCGGCTTCTTCCGGCTCGCGGCTCCGCTCGGCTCCTCGGCTCGCTGCTGCCGCGCTCGCCCCGACTTCGGCTGTTTCCGGAGCCGCTAGCTGTTGGCGGCGCAGACGCTCCCGGCGCGGGCTGCAGATGTCGGGTCGGCTGGCGGCCGAGGGGCCGGACTTTTGGAGCGCCGCAGCCCGCCGAGGGTCGGCGGGCGGCGTCGGGGACGGCCCGGGAGTGGAGGGGAGCCAGGTGGCCGTCTCAGGTACGCAAGGCCCAGGCGCTGGCGGGTGGGTGCCGCCCGGCTTCGGGGCCCCACACCTCGGCGCGAGCCTTCGCGCTCTGCCCGCGCTCGCGTTGGAGCGGCCCCACCTCGCGGCCCCTTCGCGCACAGGACCCGGCTGCTCGGGTGCGACCCCTGTCCCGCCGTCGCCCCACCTCCACCCGGGCCCTGGGTGCGCTCGAGCTTGTTTTCTGCTCCGTTTCGAAATGCCTCTGTTCCTGCCCCGCTTCCTTTCCCAGATCAGCCCAGATGGTCGTGACAGGGTTGTTCTGCCAGCTTCAGCCCGCTTCACCTCGACCTCGGTGAGCCTACCACACCCCGGCTGCGCGCTGGCCTCGCTGCCCCTCCCTCAGCTCTCCGCCGACCCCGGCTTCCGCCCCTGCCCCGGCCTTCCCGCGCTCCGCCGGGTCCGGGCGGGCAGCGTCGCCTTCCTCTGTCTAGACGCCCCTTCGCCCTGGCCTCCCTGCACGTAGGCCCCCTCAGCTCGCCGCCATCCTCTCCATCTCCTCGGGAGGGGGAGATGAAAAGCAAAGTCGTACTAGGCGCTGAGGTCTTGAATAACACAGTAGTCAGAGCAAAGGCAGGAAATAGAGGCTGCAGTAGGAATTTGGCGACTTCCCTCATGCTCCAGGGTTCTCATTTTCTTGTTTGTGGCGTTGTCTCCATTTCTACTCATACAAGTTCCTCCGTGTGGATTACTTCAGTGTCTAAAGATGAAAGGGACAGTTTGTCCCATCGTTACCTTTCATCCTCATGATCTCCACACAGGATGCAACTAAAAGGATGTTTCTTTGCGCCGGGCGTGGGGTCGCACGCCTGTAATCGCAGCACTCGGGAGGCTGAGGCCGGAGGATGGCTGCGAGTTCGAGGCCAGCCTGGGCTACAGAGTGAGCGCAAGGCCAGTCTGAACTGCACAGCGAGACCCTATTTCAAAAAAAAAAAAAAAAAAAAAAAAAAAGCTGCTTTGAAATACAGTGCTAGAGGGGAGAAGTGGTCGTTATAAAGGCAAATCATTTTCCAGGGCTGAAGTGGAACTAGACACCATAAAGTACAGTGGTTACAGTGTTACTGTAGAGCCAAGGTGCACGTGGATTGAAGTCTGGGTCCTCACTGTATCTAACTGACCTTAGGTAGATCTCTTCTCTGCCTCAGTTTTATCTCCAGTAAGATGTGGTCACGGCCTCTAGGGTTGCTGGGAGGATTATATGAGCCACTGTGTCTAAAGCATTTGTCTGTGAAGCCCAAGATACACTATGATCAATTACCCATTATGAGTATAAGGTCTGCTTTTGCTCAAACTCCTGAGGTTCCAGGGATGTATCTCTTCCCACATAGTGGCTTTCTGCTTGTATCCTAAATGTCCCCCATTTCCTTTTTTTTTTTTTTTTTTTTTTGGAGACAGGGTCTTGCTGTGTAGTTCAGGGTGGGCTTTAACTCATTATGTAGCTCAGGCTGGTCTTAAATTCCTGGTGATCCTCCTGCCTCGGCCTCCTGAGTCCTGAGATTACAGGTATAGGCCACCATGCCCAGCCTCATTTCCTAATTTTCATAGCACTCTGTTAATTGCCCAACTCTTTCTCATGACTTTATGTTTTTACTTTAAAATATGTAACAGCTGGGAGTGGTGGCGCACACCTGTAATCCCAGCACTGGGGAGGTTGAGGCAGAATGACTGCCATGAGTTCAAGACCAGCCTGGGCTACATCAGCAAGTTCAAGGCCAGTCTGCACTACATGGTGAGACAAAACAAACAAACAATAATAAAATAAGTAACAATTTTTGCCTTTTTTCTTTTGAACTTTTAGTGCTTTGTATTAAATTTAATACCAATGGTGTATACTTCCTAGTATAGCAATAGAAATTCTAACCACAATTTCTAAAAGAGTAAGCAAATAAACTTTTATATAGGTGCATAAGTCTTATAAACATCTGTTCTTTGTGTGTGCCAATATTTATAAGTTAAGCATGTTTTAATTTTTCCTTAGGTCTTCAGTGCCTTTATGCAAACATACCCAAGCATTTGAATAGAAAGTCGTTGCTTCCCACCCCCTCCCCCCAACTGGAGGCTTTCACATTGAGTGACATCCTTAGCCCTTTTAAAAATTATTTTGAGAAAGGGTCTTGTTGTCCAGATGTGGTGGTGCACACCTGTAACCCAGCACTCAGGAGGCTGAGGCAGGAGGGTCACCACAAATTTGAAGCCAGTGTGGGCTACATAGTGAGTTTAAGACCAGCCTGCATTACACAGTGATACCTTGTCTCAGAACGAACAAACCAAAAAATGACAACAACAAAAAAAGAGAGACAGAAAAGGCCTTGTTAAACTGCCTAAGCAGGATTCAAACTTGTAATTCCTCCCACCCCCTCTACCCCCCATATGCTGGGATTATAGGCATATGCTGTGCCTGGTTTAAACAGAAAAGTTTTTATTTTTTGTAATTTCTGGAACTGAACTCAGGGCCTTGCACATACAAGACAAACACTCTGTCACTGGGTTATGACCCCTGCCCAAATAGAAAGGTTTTAAGAGTACTTCTGGAATATATTATAAGTTAGTGAATTTGTGAGAATGACCCCCACCCTGACTGCTCCCCTCCAGGACATTTGTAGACATATTTTCAGTTACTTTCCTTTCTCTCCTCAGAAAACAGGTTGATAGTTGGTTTCTGTTTGTGTCATGGAGGGGTTTGTTATTAAAATCCAGGATAAGCTGAATGTGGTGGTGCAGCCTGCAATCCCAACACTCCTCGGGCTGAGGCAGGAGGATCACCAAGAGTTTGAGGCCACCCTGGGCTGCATAAGCAAGTTCAAGGCCAGTCTGGACTACATAATAAGACCCTGTCTCAACCCCGCCCCCCACCAAAAAACATAACCAAGTCCAGGGTATATTCTTTCTCTTGAAGTAGGCTTTGTTGCTAATAAAATAAGAATGATAACTTACATGTACCAAATGCTTACTGTAGTGTGCCAAAATGTGGAAGGGATTTACATTTATTTTCTGATTTAATCTTGGCAATAATAATTTTCTTCCCATTTTACCGAGGAACTGTAATTGAGAGATGTTAACTTGTCCTAGTTAGCTCTGGCATTTTTACTGTCCATTTCAAATTGTCTCTTTGTTATAATACTTTATAATTATTTATTTATATTGAGTATTACTCAATTATTGACACTCCAGGACGAGTTATGGTCTTTGTCCTTAAAGTATTTCTAATTTGTTGAGATGGAAATTCTACAGGAAACATAAATAATTCAAAATGTTATATCATTGGGTATCTTTTATTATAGTTATTTTCGTACTTTCCCCAAGAAGTCTTCTTGAATGGAATCTGTCTTACCTGTTTTCTCTCCTTCATTATGGACCTTATGAAGAGGTCCATAAATATTGGCTGGTGAAAGTAGGCCTCAATGAAAAGATTTGAAGGAGTATCCAGTGCATGTGAGGAATTAGGGCTGAGGTAATCAAGAATGTGCCTTTGGTTAGAGTAGTGATTATGAACCACAAACTATTTGGCACCCCCAGGGGCCTTCTGACAGTGTCTGAAAACCTCTGGGTTTGTTAGAACTGAAGGCAGCTATTACTGACATCTAGTGAGCATAGGACAGGGGTGTTGCTACATCCAGTGGTGCAAAGGACCGTCCTACAATGAAGACTTGGCTCCAAATGTCAGTAGTGCTACTTTTGAGAAACCCTGGGTTGGGGTTAACCTGGATTTCCAAAGCAGCATGGGAATGCTTAGACTAGAGTACCTGGAAGTAAACCTAAAAAACTTCAAAATTAGGTGTTTGGATCCTTCTGCTACTTTCCATAGAAAATGAGTGAGTGGGCAGTGAAGATATTAAGAAGGAATGAAATAGCCAGATGTGGTGGCACATGCCTATAATCCCAGCACTTGGGAGGCTGAGGCAGGAGGATCGCTGCAAGTTCAGGGCCAGCCTGGGCTACATAGTGAATTCAAGGCCAAATTGTACTACATAGCAAGACCCTGTCTCAAAAAAAAAAAAAAAAAAAAAGAAAAAAGAAAAGAAGGAATGAAACTGAAAGAAATTGACATACTTTCGCAGAGAAAAACAGCACTAAAAATGAGGTTAGGTATTCAGTTATTGAGTTATGAGTATTTTTCAGTATCTTATTCTTTCAAAGCAGGAATTTGTCATTTTCCAGAATAACCATAACTTATTTTTTCAAAAGTTCTCTGCAGAGAGTCTTCATGATTGTTAGCTGAGATTTTGCTGAAAAGGAAGAAAAGGACTTATTTTCTTAAACTACTCAGCAGTGGTCATGGTGTTCTTATTTTTTTTTTTTTTTTTTGAGCTGTAATTGTTTTTAATAGTTTTTTATTTGGGGCCTCTAGGTTCTCCAGTCTCCAAGAGGAAAGAGAAATCATTCTTTGTGTCATGAGACTCTGAGGCATACATGTTGCATCACTTAAGGGCAGGTAATAAGTAATTTTTTTTTTTTTAAGGTCTGGAGACCTTGGGAAAAATAAAGATCAAGATCTGTTATCTCTGAAGTCAGCAAGAACATAGTTTGGTGTGTCTGAGCTATCGCTGAATTTAAATGTTGAGGACTGGAAATGGGTCTGGTAAATTTGTTCATGGATTTAATGTAGAACTATGAGCAGTATGTCTTTGCAGTGAGGGAAATGTTTTATATTTGTGGCTATTTTGTTTTGTTTTATTTTGGTTTTTTGGGGGGGGGTTTTGAGACAAGGTTTCACTATGTAGTTCAGGCTGTCCTTGAACTCACTATGTAGCCCAGATTCACCTGGAACTCATAGTGATCCTCCTGCCTCAGTCTCCCAAGTGTTGGGATTGCAGGCCTGTGCCACCATGTCTGGCTATCTGTGGCTATTTCAATTTAAATTAATTGAAAATAAAATTGGGTGGCTACAATATGGAGTGGTGTACAAGAGTAAAAGTTTATGCTGAAGAACCTTTATGTTTTTTAGTTTTTTACTCTGCTTTTATGTCAAAACATT